TGCTGGGATTATAGATATGAGACACCATGCTTGGCTTATATATTTTTTTAATTTTCTATGGAACTTCACACATGGTATACTGTTTTTTATTTTTCTACAGATAATTAAGGTTCTGATTTTTTCAGTCTGCTTTGATTTGTGTTTTTGTATTTTTTTCTGTTAACTACATCTAATTTAAATTTCTCTTATATACTCTTTTCCATTTCTACAATTTCCATTTGCTATTTTATGATACCATTTCTATCCCTCTTTTCTCTTTATTATACTCACTTTTCTGTAAAATCTGGAATACATGGATCATAGTTATCACAGCTCTTAAGACATTACTATAGTAGCTGAAACATCCTTTCATTTCAGGGTCTGTTTCTGTAGACTGTTCTGTTCCTATTCTTTTGTGACATAGTTTATGAACCATATTTTTCTTCACATGTTCAGTAATTGTTTTCTTTATTCAAGCCTGGCCACTATAGAGGTGTCCATTTAAAAATATTGTGTTGTGTGATATTTTGTTTGTGTTTTGACAAATGAAGCTTGCTTGGATATCAGAGGGTGGAATTAGCCACTAGTTAACCATAGAGGCCAGGCAGTGGTGGCACACCGACACACACCTTTAATCCCAGCACTTGGGAGAAGGAAGCAGGAAGATCAGGAGTTCAAGGCTACACAAGATTGAACCAGTCTAAAACAGAAACAGAGGCGGGTGGTGGTGGCTCACACCTTTGATCCCAGCACTTGGGAGGCTCACACCTTTAATCTCAGCACAATTGGAAGGTGGAGACAGTATTATAAGGTGGGTGGAGACAGGATCTCAGTCCCATTCAGTCTGAGGATTCATAGAGACAGAAGCCCCCCCCCCCCCATTCGGTCTGAGATTTCGTGGAGGTAAGAAGTCTCTGGTGGCTGGCTGCTCTGCTTCTCTGATCTTTCACCTTTCACCCTAATATCTGACTCTGGGTTTTTATTAATAAGACTAACTAGGATTGAGCTCCATCATTGCATCTTTCGGGCAATACAGTTTGGGCCATGTGTCCCCCCTACCCCCAAGTGTCAATGTGTTAAAGTCTTGGTCCTCATCTTATCATTTTTGGGAGGTGGTGGAAATGTTAAGAAGTGGGCCCTACCAGGAGATCTTCAGGTCACTGCGGCCCTGGAGAGGAGATAGTGCAACTCCAGATACGGGCCGTCTTTTGCTTTCCTACCATGAAATGTGTGATTCTGTTTTGCTACCTGCTCTTGCCAAGATACGCTACCTCAAAAAGGGGGGGGGGTGAATGAATGAGCATGCACTGAAACCTCCAGACTGGGTGCTAGTCTCTTGGCCTCCCCCAATTCTCATTTTTCCACCCTCTTCTGTACATTATGACCATTTGGGGTTATTTTTGGGTTCTCTGCTACAGTTCAGAAACCAGTTCTGGGCCAAATGCTATTGGCTGTTATGTGACTCAATGCACATTTCCTGCCTCCTTTGAGATCAGTTTTGTACTGCCATTGGCTCATGCTTGAAATCAATCATACCTTTACCGTGTTACTTTTTCATCACCATGACAAAATGTCTGGCAGAAGCAACTTAGAAGGAAGAAATATTTGTTTTGGTTCATACTCTCAGAGGTCTCAGCCATGGCTAGCTGGCTCTACTCTGGTTCACACTCTCAGAGGTCTAAGCCATGGCTAGCTGGCTCTACTCTGGTTCACACTCACAGAGGTCTCAGCCATGGCTAGCTGGCTCTACTCTGGTTCACACTGACAGAGGTCTCAGCCATGGCTAGCTGGCTCTACTCTGGTTCACATTCTCAGAGGTCTCAGCCATGGCTAGCTGGCTCTACTCTGGTTCACATTCTCAGAGGTCTCAGCCATGGCTAGCTGGCTCTACTCTGGTTCACACTGACAGAGGTCTCAGCCATGGCTAGCTGGCTCTACTCTGGTTCACACTGACAGAGGTCTCAGCCATGGCTAGCTGGCTCTACTCTGGTTCACACTCTCAGAGGTCTAAGCCATGGCTAGCTGGCTCTACTCTGGTTCACACTCACAGAGGTCTCAGCCATGGCTAGCTGGCTCTACTCTGGTTCACACTGACAGAGGTCTCAGCCATGGCTAGCTGGCTCTACTCTGGTCACACTCTCAGAGGTCTCAGTCATGGCTAGCTGGCTCTAGTCTAGTTCACACTCTCAGAGGTCTCAGCCATGGCTAGCTGGCTCTACTCTGGTCACACTCTCAGAGGTCTCAGCCATGGCTAGCTGGCTCTAGTCTAGTTCACACTCTCAGAGGTCTCAGCCCATCGCTAACTGGCTATACTGTTTCTGACTGTGAGAAGCAGCACACAGAGCTGCCATTTCACTGTGCCATGAAACAGAGCTAAGGAATGGATTTTGAAGGTATATTTTCTCCAACCAGACCTCACTTCCCATTCCACTATGAGCATTATCCATTGATGAAGTTAGCATCCTCATGATCCGATCATCATCACAATATTGTGGTAGCATTTAAACATGCCCCCATCACAATTCCCTGAAAGTCATTTCACCAAAAGGTGAATTTTGTTCTCTGTCATTGAGTGTACATATTGTGACTCCAATAGAGCATAACTGAAGTGATGCTCTCCCCATTTCCTGGTCCACATCTTAAGGAATTGGTGGCTTCTTCTTCCTGTCTCCTGAAATATTCTGACTTATGTCCATCCAATATGCTGGGAGGAGCTAGGCAGATACATAGCAAGTTCTGCACAGTTGGTGTGGCTGACAGCCCCAATGACTCAGCCAACTTCCACCATCTATTGCCAGACACACATTGAGCAACTTCTTTAAATATTGAAAATGTACTGTAGTCATCCAGTCATTTCTACTTCTCCATGCTATATGGAGGAGAGGAAAGCTGTCCCTGCTGAAATCTGACCAAAGTTTTGATTTGTAAGCAAAAGAAATTGTTGTTTTTACTCTAAGAGGCTACATTTAGATGGTGTTGTGTAGTAATCAATATCTGGAACCAATATCACACCACTGAGTGCTGTGATAGAAGTGACCACTCAACCAATTAATTAACAGAAATTTATTATGTAGCATTACTGGTCAGGTACTGAGTTAGGAAAGACTTTGTCAGTGAGATCTAGACAAGCACTCCGTCATTGAGCCACATCCTCATCAGTCTTTACAATCTTTTAAAACTTTATGTACTCAGATGTCTATCTGTGCAGATACAGATCTATAGTGTTACTTTCAAAGGCTAAATCATTTTCATATCACAGGTACTCTGACTTATTTGAGAAGTATAACTATTGATTGCACTGGAGTGCTTACTACATGCCAGGCACTATTACAGGGGATTTGCTTCTTATTATTTATTCAGTCCTTGGTAGTTTATTATTTGTTTCTTATTAATGAAGAAACAGGCACTAAGAGATTAGTTTGTTCAATCTCTTCAATGTCGGACATTTTAGTGGTCATCAGTGCTTTGATATTATAAACAATGCTACCATTAGTATCTTGGTTCATGATTTTAAAGAATGTCTTTAGCTAAGTTCTAAAATAATCAGAATTCTTGGGACCAAAGGTGTATTTCCAAAAGCTTCTTCTTTTTTTTTTTTTTCAAAGACAGGGTTTCTCTGTGTAGCTTTGGAGCCTGTCCTGGAACTCACTTCGTAGACCAGGCTGGCCTCGAACTCACAGAGATCCACCTGGCTCTGCCTCCCAAGTGCTGGGATTAAAGGTGTGTGCCACCACTGCCTGGCCCAAAAGCTTCAGTCCCCATTCCTTGAATTCTTCTATCGTTGGTTTGTTTGAGACAGGGTATGTCTATGTAGCCTTCGCTGTCCTGGAACTTGCTCTGTAGATCAGGCTAACCTCAAACTCATAAGAGATGTGCTCGCCTTGGCCTCCTTAGTGGAGTACACCATCCCCGCCCAGGGGATGCTTTTATTTTTAAATGACTGAAAACATTAACCGCTACTTTAATTTGCTCATCTCTCTTCAAAATTCGACTTCATTTTAAATTGAGTTTTGTAAGCAAGCTTTTTCTGTACTGTCATACCAATTCTGTTGTTGACATGTATCTGTTTGTAAGCCACATTTATGAGTTCCTATTTGGGCATACTTTACATGACTTCACTGTATGTGCAAGACGAGCTCTCTAACTTTACGTAATATTTCCAAGAGATGATCCTTTAAGATTTCCACGATTTAGAGGGCAATTTGTGTGTGTGTGCGCGCCATACACATGTACAAACTAGATCACCAAATCAACATTTTTAAGTTGTCAAGAGTCTTCATCAAGGTCTGGTTCCATTTTCGTTTTTGTTTTGTTTTTCTGCTGTTGACTACGTGTGGTTATCTCGGGCTGCGAAGGACTAATCTTCCAGTCACTCCAGGGGCCCAGTGACTGCACATTTAGTCAGTCGGTGCCGACACCCAGCAAGCTTCCCTCTGATCTCAGGCTGGGGAAGCAGCCAGCGTTAGTTACCTCAGGCTCTCCAGAGGCTGCGCGCCTTGACACTCCCCTCCAAGGGACTCAAGCCAGTTCCACCAGCTCACATGACTCCATCCCAGCAACTTCCTTGTCCTCTCAGACTGGCGCACTGGACGTTTTACTCGGATAACCCAAGGGGACTGTCTGACCTTCTAGAGGGATGACAATACTACAAGCAACCCAGCGAATAAACTCAAGGAGTTAAAAATCAAGGGCTCGGTGGGACCCAAACGGAGCCCTCTTTCGTGCTCAGCCTCTGATTCACTCCAGCGGTGCTTAGTCGGCCTCGGCGCGCCTGAAGGACCTCGTCCTCCCGAGACGCCCGAGCAATGGAAAAGCCGAGAACATAGCCGCGAATCCCACGGACCTGCGGGAGGTCGACGGAGGAAGCGACAGGGGCGGCTCCTCGCGTGGGCCTCGGCGGAAGGGCAGGGTTCTTGACAGACCTGGAGCAGGCAGCGCTCCGGCCGCCTAGATTCCCGACACGCCCCGCGCGGGGGCCTGTGCCGCTTCTCTGCTGTTGCCGCCGCCGCCGCCGCCTCTGTTGCTGGGGGTGGGTGAGAGGAGGGGCCGAGAAGGACCCTGTCCAGGCAGTCTGTGTTGCTGTTTTTGTACCTGAGGGGCCTCCTTTCTCCGTCATCCCTGGACGGCCGCGGTGTCGAGGGGGCAGTCCCTGGGGACACCTCGGCACGCAGCGGACATGCCTCTCTTTGCCACCAATCCCTTCGACCAGGATGTTGGTAAGTGTTCTCACTGCCCTCCGTCGGTTCCCCGCCAGACTGCGAGCCCACGCCGCCCACCCTCCCGCATCCATGCTGGACTCCCAGGCCGAGCCCGCCTTCTTCTCTCCTGGGGCCCCTCGTTCAGAGGCGGGAGAGGCGTGAGGACTTGGCTCGTCCTCTTCGAAAGAAACGGGACTAAACCCCTCTTAATGGGCCTTGGTGCGGGACTCGAGGGGCTTGGAAGGGATTGCTTAAGGGATTTGGGGTAAAGGGTTGCCTCGGGAGGAGCAGCCGATGAAGCCTTCTGCCGCTGGGGCTCGGCTTTCTGGAGAAGGGCCGGGGCGTATCTTGGCTTGAGCAAGACTGATTGATTATAAGCCCTATCGCCCAAGTGTTTGCCTGGCCCAATGGAAAGCTCCAGGGAACGGGCAACATGTTTTAGGTAAGGTTACTTAGGGTTTTTATAAACCGCTCTTATAACGGTCCCTGGAGGAGAGAGGTCTGATTATGGGTAGATTGAAATATTGGGAGAGATGAAGATGGACTACTTGGCAACAACCGAAAACGCTATTGAAGACATATGAGCGTTTGGGATGCCTTCCTCAGGCTGGGCCTCTGCCTTGGGGAAGCGTGGAAAAGGATTTTGCGTCCAGGAAGAGGTCTGGAATGTTAATTTTTGTTGTTGTTTTTTTTTTCTGAATCATTGATATTAGATATCGATCATATCAGTTTAACAGGTTGACCGTCTCTTTTTGGCCTGAAGGTAATAATGGAATTTGAATTTCTTGAAAGAGAATTTGGGGGTGACTTGAATGCACATGGAACTACCCTGGCAAACAAAGTGTAGAATGAACACAAACGAGTACCCTAGCCAGATCCCATAAGACCGATTTTAACCATCACTACAGTAAAAGAATGTAAGGATAACCTGTGAGAGTGGCTTTATGAAGTTTGTTTATGAGAGATGAATTTTAAATTTTGTTCCTTGAACTCTGTATAGCATCTCACTGGAAATCCTAATACTGTCACTTCCTGCTTGGTTCATAGTGATTTAAATGAATGTCCGGAAGCTGAGCAGTGGATGGAACTTTAGAAATCATCAATAATGCTAAATAAGTAATGAATTGGAAAATTGTGTTTACTAAGTGCTTAGCACCAGTACTTACTGAACACAGTGTTCATTGACTGAAGAGAGAGAACTATGAAGACCATCACATTGCTGCTCTTTGGCAGGTTTACAACTTACTGCATCAGTCACCAGGACAAGTGCTTATAATAAAACAATACTTGCTGCTTCTGTTCCCAGCACTTTTACCTATGTCTATCTAATTGGTTATTTGTGTTTTGTATTTTGAGACAAGTATCTCCCAAGTGCTGGGATTAAAGGCGTGCACTCCCACGCCTGGCTCCTACAGTTGTAATGGTCGCAGTTGTAATGGCATCTTGCTTCCTGCTAATCAGTCCCATTTATATTCTCCTGGCTTGTTTGTTTTTGTGGTATTAGGAATGGAACCCAGAACCTAATATGTGTTCCTTCTGATTTTTTCTTTTTTGAACCCACATTTGCTCTGGATTCGGATGGATTTCTTAATGTTAAACTTATTCTTGCTACCCATACCACCCATTTCAAACGCAGGCACCTTCTTGCCTTTAAGCTTTAGTCTCTGTTATTTAGTCTGTCTTTCTACATATGTGCCCTCGTGCTTTAAGGTCAACTTAGAATCCAGTTTGTTCTACCTGCTGATTCCCGCAACCTTCTTGTAGCAACATTGACAGTTTGGAATAGATAAAATTCTTAAGGGAGTTTTGTTCTATACAGTGAAGACTGTTAGCTTTGTTTTTGCCCTTTACTCAGTAGCTGCCAGTAGTGTCTCATGGCCAGTCATGATTTTGAAAGTCTTAGGCATTATTTAATGTCTCTTGGGGTGTTTAAATACTTTGTGTTTCAGAGCTATTGTGATTTTCACCTTCCCCAAACTCTTACAAATTTCAACATTTTTGTGTTTACTAAAATTAAGCATTAGATGTCATTGTGTTCTTTATTTTGTTCCTTTTTGGTGGCTGATACATAGTTGGCTTTGAATAAATGCTTGCTGAGTTGAAAATATGTTAAACCTGTTGGACATGGATTTTTTTTAATTTAGTTTGAATTATAAAGATAGTTTATACCATCAAGTTCCCTACTGATTTATATTTACCAGTTCCAAAAGTCAGTTCCTCATCCATTTTTTTATCAAGGTCTTAAATTTTTCTTCTGTGCTTTACCCATAGGTTTCTTGGACACCAAAGTTTTTCTGCTGAGCTTTTTAGTCTTTTTGCCTTTTAATTTTTCAGTGTCTAAATGTTGAGCAACCTGGGCTCAGTAATAAAACCTCTTCTCCATTGACACTTTGTTTTCTTAGAGCCTTAGGAGGCTTAGTGTTAAGTAGAATTTGGAATGATTTATTTGAATTGAAGTTTTAGGCTTGCTGTTTATCAGCAATGTGGCTTTGAGCTAGTTGGTTAGATATTCTGTACCTTTGTTTCCTTGTTTTTACATATGGAGTATAAGAATTATAATGTTTCTTAATTCGCAGAATTGGTAGAATTGAGCCAGTGTGCAGATGTAACCAACCGTCTTATTAAATAAGAAACACAGAACCAATGTAAAGAAGAAAGCCAAGGGATCAGGGCTAAGAGCCTTACCCGCCTGCTGCAGCTAGCCTCTTTAGCCAAGAGACCTCTCCAAAAGAGACTTACTTCCTGTCTGTTTGTCTTTATATAGACTTTCTGTTCTGCCTTCTCATTGGTTGTAAAACCAACCACATGACTGCCTCGTCACTGTCTGTTGGCTGTATCCTTGAACACACAGAGATCTACCTAGCTCTGCCTACCAAGTTCTGGGATTAAAGGCGTGCACCACCAACGCCCAGCTCTGCTATGGCTTGCTATTAGCTCTGACCCCCAAGCAATTTTATTTGTTAACATAAAAATAAAATCACATTTCAGTACAAATAAAATATCACCATACCAGTGTTTAAAAAGCACATAGAATTTTTTTTTTTAATTTGTGAAGTAAGTTTTAAAACAAAAAAGCTACTCTTTTAGCGTTAAACACTTTGTGTATTCCAGTGACTCACAAATTTAAATAGTCTTGATCTGTATTGGAGATTTAGGTATCCATCTACTCGATATTTCTACTGGATTTTGATAGGAATCTAGAAACAAAGCAGAAACTTTGTTTTCCTCCAGCTTCTCACTCTGTTGTCCTAGGCCAACTCAGGGATTGAGTCACTAATATTTCCTGTTAGTCATTTCTGCTGTGGAAGAGTCATCCTTGATTCTCTCATGCTCCATTCTGACAGTAGGGTCTTTGGGCTCTACTTAACTTCTTTATAGAGTCTTGTTACCTCAGTATTATCATACTCAGCCATCTCAACCCCCTTTAGACAGAGACTGTGGCTGGGGCTTTGTGGTAGGATTTCTTGTTACTCTTTGCCCTCCAATAAAGTTTCATTTATAGACGCCATTTGTTTTTAAAAAGTACTGGATACGGTGACCTACCTGTTCAGAAATCTCTGGCAATTTTCTATATATACACATAAAGAAAGATACGATTGTGATCTTTGGATTCACCATCATGTTACGCTTCTTGGATCTGAGCATTCCAAGCGTTTCTGCCTCTGTAGCTTCATAGGACCATTTTCTTTGCTTATATTACTGTTCCCTTAGGTATTTTAAGGTTGTGATGTCTATCACATTTTGGGGCTCAATTCACAATTCACATTCTAAGAGAGGCTTTTCTAGTTGCCTTCTTTAAAACAAATAATACATTGTTTTATACTCACAACTGTTTGTTCATTTTCTTGATAAGTTCATTAATTGATGGTCTTGTGTGGTTTAAACTTTATAAAGATGAGAACTTTTCATTCCTGTCCCTAGTACCTTGGGGGCAATTCTTAGGACATAATAAACACACAATTTATCTAGTAATGAATTACTGATAATTTTCTAGATTGTTAGTTTGTTGTTCTGTTACCACTTAAAAATCAATCTATTAGAAAACTGAACTTACCTTTCCATGTTGTTCTTTTCATTATTTGATTGTTTTATAATGTTCTATTTATCTTGACTCTTAAAATATCAGAGTGCCGGTCTCCCTTCCCCCCTTCAGTGCCTGAGATCCAATGAGGGCCTTGCAAGTGCCAGGGAAGCACTTTACCTCTAACCTCCACTCTGCAGTTCCTGGCCTTGTTGTCTTGAAATGGAGTCTCACTGTGTATCCAGGTTGGCCTTGAATTTGAGATGCTCCTAATTCTGCCTCCTAAGTGCTGAGGTGGCAGGTGTGCAGCGGCAAGCCTGGTGCCAATGAGAAACGTCTTTGAGTCATTCCTTTGTCTCCGTTAAATGCTGTTTATGATTCATAAAAGGAAGTTAGCAGCCAGATATGGTGGTCCACTCCTTTAATTCCAGCTCTCAGGAGGCAGATGGATCTCTGGTTGGAGGACAGCCTGGTCTACCTTGTGAATTCCAGGCCAGCAAAAGATACATAGTAAGACTTTGTCTAAATAAAAATAAATAAGTTAATTATTTTTCAAAAAGTAAGCATTTTAGTCAAACTCTGTTTGACCAGTTCATATCCTGCCTACTGTTAATCTGCTATACATACTTTGTTTTCATTTTGCTTAGTACAGTCAGTATCATAAATCACAGTCAGATTAATTTTTGTCCTAACCCAGTGGTTCTCAATCTTCCTAACATGACCCTTTAACACAGTTCCTCATGTTTGGTGACCCCCAACCATAAAATTATTCTCATTGCTACTTCATAACTGTAATTTTGCTATTGTTATGAATCGTAATATGTTATGAATATGTTAATGAATCATAATGTAATATTTTTTGGAGAAGATTTGGCCATGGGGTCGTGACCCACATGTTGAGAACCACTGTTCTGAAGTGTAGAGATCTTGGCTTTGGCAAAAAAATTGCACATTTAATTTTGGAAATGTAAAGCCATAATTATGATAATAGGCAATT